ATTGTATTTACATAACGAGTGTATGTTTTCTGTCTGTGCCTCACTAAGGGTACATCGCATCCCTGATTAAAGTCCCACGGACCTGGTAGCTGCTCCTACTGTAGTTCAGTTCACTGGGTGGGTTATATGGAGAAATGGCATTTCACGGGTGGTGTGCTCCATCCTGAGAGCAGAGCAGAAGCTGCAGTATTGCAGGCCACAGTTGAGCTCTCTACTCAGCTGTGACCACAACTAGCTCACTGAAAAGTTTGCTTATGCCTATTGGGAGGCCCTTGGAAGTATGTATTTGGGACTGTGTGTGTAAAAGAAGTAGTTGTATGCTTACTTAGTGGAGTGCTTCTGAAAGCAGTTCTGCACTTCAGTCTGTTACCCTTGGGGATTTTTCTTCCTCTTGAAAGTTTTATTGTTTTGGTCAACAGTAATTGCGGAGTGGTTTCTTTTAGCAATGTTCTGTGCCTTTCTTCTAACACAACAGGTCTGTTTTTAATATTTCCAGGTTTTTCTTTGACCGTTAATCTTTGCATTTTTGCTCTCTCTATATTATTAGTCTGCTTTTTGGCTTCAATTTTTTTTGTTATCTATCTTTAGAATTTAGAGGAATGCTTTGAAGTACTTTCTCTCTATACCTTCTGTCAATTCCATTTAAGTTTTTCAGTAGTGAGTTAGTTTTAATGTAGGAAAGAAATACACCTACCTACTGCAAATATCACCCTAAAACTCTTGAACTGCTTTTGTTTAAGCCAAAAGAAAACTAGCCTTGCCTTTAGCCCGAAACAAAGCACAGTGAGCTTCAAACCCAAAGCAAATAACTTTGCAAGTTACAAACAATTAAAAAAATGGATGTTTTTATTCTTTTGTAGTGCCACAGTGAGTGGTGCTCACAATAGTGGTAGTTTTTGATACCATTTTTGGTTGAGTGTTTCGGCTGAAAGAAACCCACATGCATGATATTTCTCTTTAAGACCATAATGACAGTGGGCTAACAGCTGTGAGTGCTCTTGGTGGTTAGCATATGAGACCTTGGTTTGATTCCTGTCCAGTGAACATACTCAGGGTATGTGTCTGCATGGCTTACATGAGGTTTGTAGATATTTTAATATGCCAGTGAGACAAGCTACATGTTTGGTGGGGTATTGATGGTTAGAGTGGTTAAGAACTAGGAACCAGAAGGCATAGGACCAACAAAAACTTTTGCTGAAGAAAAAAAAAATCTAGTTTTTTATTCTGGAATAAAAGTCTTATCAGGCAAGTTTTGAGAAGGAATAAAACTGAAACTGCTGCTGTTGTGTGTTGGGGTTAAATGTTGCTTTTCCAGATGTACAGCACTGACTTGCTGAAGTGGAACCCTGGTATTAATGTGTTCATACTATATTATAAATTATGTGTGTACGTCTGATCTGTATCCTTTGATACAAACCAGACCCCAAGGCCTGTGATGGAACTGATGGTTATCATCAGCACATAGCACTTTGCACACACAAACTGCTGCACAAAT